TTCTGAATCAAAGGCATATACTTTGATAATTTGAATAGATATTGCTCAGTTGCCCTCCATAATAGTTATATTAATTTATGCTCCTTGTAGCAGTATATAAGTTCCATTTCCTCACAGTTATGCTAATAGAATGTGTTATCCAATACTGAGTGTTTTTTTCTATTGGGTGATAAAATGTATCTGGATGTTTATAACTTACACTTCTCACAAATAAAGGTGAGATTTTTTCACATATTTTATAATAATTTGTGAATTTTTTTTGTGAACTGTCTATTTACATCCCTTTATTTTCCTATACATTTAAAAATAATTTCCTAAGAAATTCCATGTACATTTAGCCTTTGCCTGTGATATGAGTTGATATTCCCTCACCTCCAGTTCGTTGTTCTTTTGGCTTTGCTTATGTTGCTTCTTCCAGGCAGGCAGCTGTTTTTGTAGTTGAATTGAATTGAACCAGTCTTCCCCCTACTTCGCGCCCCCCCCCCCCCCCAATGATTAGATTTGGAGACTTAGTTACAAAAGTCCTCCTAAATTCAAGATAATAAAGAAATGTATCATATTTTCTTTTAGAACTGACATATTTTTCCTCTTTCTGCTTTTAGTCATTCTTTTTTTCTAGTCATGCTCTTGAGTTATTCATAATTCTTTCCATTTGTCTAGGCCTTCTTTTCAAAATCATCTCTACAAAGTATCTCAGTACATGAAGATTTATTTTTCAGAACTGTCATGTTATTTTCTGCATGCAACCTCATTTATATCCTATTCACTACATTTTAAGTAAAGAATCTGACATTCTGGTCATATGAATTTTAAGAAGAGCCAGGACTCTGCAAGTGTAACATTTGAACACACCTGTAATTCTCTGTGACTATCCCGAACATAAAATGTCATATTACTGCATTTCTATATGTTTCATTTCCCTGAAGACATGGACTATGTCTTCTGTCTTTCCACCATAGCAACTAGAAAAGTTATTTATACCAGACCCTCAATAGACATTTGTTTACTGGCTAAGTTAATGTATTATAGCTTCTTCTGTTAATTCCCTGCTTAGTTTTGTTCACATAGACTGGTTTGCTCCCAAACTGCCCAAGGATTCCTCCTTTCTTTTAACTTCCCAGTTTTCTAAAGCTATGACTGTTTTTCTATGTTGGAGTTTCAGCAATAACAGGAATCAAGTTGAGTCAGACATTAGAATAGAAAATATAATGCCTTTCCCTCAAAATGTTTGTTTTTATTATTTTTTTAAATTTATCTTTATTGTTGAAAGTATTACAGATGTCTCCTTTCCCCTCCCATTGACTCCTCTAGCACCCCCACTCTAGGCCTTCACCATATTATTGTCTGTGTCCATGGGTTATGCATAAATGCATACAAGTTCTTTGGTTAATCTCTTTCCACCCCCCGGACACCCACACCTTCCCTCTGAAATTCCACAGCCTGTTCCATGATTCCATGTCTCTTGATGTATTTGTTCTTCAGTTTACTTTGTTCTTTAGATTCTACATGTGAGCGAGATCATGAGATACTTGTATTTAAGTGAAAAACAAACACCTCCACTACAGCAGAATCCAGACACTATAACTAAAAGCATTTAATACCCAGCAATAACACGAAGTTGTGGAAAGGATCACAGATCAGGTGTCAGGATTTGAGGACAGTTATTATTTTTGTTTTTCCCACTATCTGATAACAATACCTTAATTTTTTTCTGGAACCCATTTCTTCCACCACTCTCAGTTCATGGGCTTTGGATCCAAAGAAACCAAATCATCAGAGAGAACACTGCACCTCCCAGGCCTTGGAGACAGGTCGGGGTTGTACCATTTGACTTGGAATGAACCAATAAGATGCAATGAGATATTTCTGGAGTTCCCAGGGAAGCACTAGGTACGGTTTTCTACTAGTCCTGAACATGAAAGGGTGACATTAAACTTGCTACAATTAACCACTGCAAGAACCTGAAAATCAAATAAATATAAAGAGGATAAAAACATTAGGGAGTTGGAGAAAATCTTGATAAGTCTGGTGACATATTTTTGTTCCTGAATATAATCTTGCTTAATGTTAGTTCCATTTCTAGATTTTTGGTTGGGTGCACTAATAAGTCCTCTTTCCTTTTGGTTTGTTTTTAACCACTTTGAAGATATACTAGAAAAAAAAGACTTCAAACTTGCTTGTTTGCATCTAATTGAATCAAATCAGTTTCTCTTTTGTAAAATAGCATGGGTCAAGCTCACTTCCAATGCTAAAATTATATGAAATAAATCTCCTTTATGACTAGATGATCTATGTCAGTCCCAAAAAGTCTGATTTTCGCATTTTGGATACTGACCTATGGAATATCTGAATCCGTGGATTACCTGCTCAGGTGTCAATGGTCATCTACTCTTTTTGAAAGGAATGTGAGCAGTTCCATTCTGTTAGCCCAGAGAATAACTAAAGCGCCCTCAGTGAATATGTGAGAACTGTTTTTTCTTGATTTTATAGCATCTTGTCTTACAATTTATCATTCATGGCTCTCTACTCAATCAGATAAAAGGTTATTTGCTAACAGATACTTTCCTTATGGTTGATTGTTCCCAAAAAGACAGAGTGTCACTAAGAATTAGGTTTGGCTGGCTAGCTGAGAAAGATAGCTGATTATTTCCTCGTAGCATAAAGGCAATTTGGGTGCAGGCAGTCCTTAGTATGTAGAGCTGCTCAATGAAAACAAGGATCCAGACTTCTTCCAGCTCTTAGCTCTGCCTCCCAAGGGTTTCACCTTTCTGCTCGTGGTCCAGGACAGCTAATAAATGTGAGATTATGGCATTCCCATACCTTGGTGTTAAAATGTCTATTAACAAGGGAATGTGTGGTTGGTTTTTTTATCTGTCTTTATTTGGCAAAATAAAAAGTTAGCAAACTTAAGTTGAAGCTCCCATAGCTTCTTCCCCATAAGTACTCATTTTCCATCCCTGACAAAGTTTCAAATATTTTAAATGGGTCCATGAAAAGTCAAGCTTGGAAACAAGCTTGTTCTAGAAGCTGGAACAATGAATTAGAGGCATAAATGAAAATAACCTTTCTCCTACTTATGTCAGAATATGACCCTCATACCAAAAGGTGGAGTCATTTTGGAAATGTGAGCTGAGAAAGGTACTTAGTAGGTGCCTGACTCAGTCTCCCTTTCTGTAACATAGGAATATCTTTGTAATATGTTAGAACAGTGGTCAGCAAACTGCGGCTCTGTTGACTAGTGAGTTTGCAGACCAGTTATATACTACCCTTTACCTCTTTGCACACAATATGCCACAATTGCCTAATCCTCACAGCTTCCAACTACACAATAACATTTAGTTTAGTCGCGTGGTCGGCAAACTCATTAGTCAACAGAGTGGCAAACCTCGGCTCACGAGTTTAATGAAAGGATGATTTCAATATTGTTTTATGAACTCTGATATAAAAATGAATCTAGAAATAATATTTACTGCACTGTGTATATTGTGCTCAAGAGCATAAAGTAAGAAGCTACCTGTCTGGGATAAATCCCAGCTCCGCTTGGTGGCTCTGTAACCTCTGTGTACCTATTTCAGTTTCCTCATCTGTAAAATGGGATTCAAATATTTACTTTAGAACAGGGATTCTCAACCAGGGGTGATTTGGCATGTCTGCAGACATTTTTGGTTTACATAACAGGGGGTTAGGGTGTGTTGCTGGCATCTAGTGAATACATACTAAGGATACTGCTAAACAGCCTGCAACAGAATCACCCAGCACCACCTATTAATAGTGCCAACACTGATTTAAGTGAGATAATATATATACAGCACTTGGAACAGAAACCACTATTCCAGTGTCAGTAACTATTATGACCAAGCATTGTGCTATGAGCCTTATTTTCTCATTTTATTTACACAACTCCTATTGAAGCATTACATCATTATTTCATAGATGAGAAAATTGAGGTTGGGGAGTAGGTACCTAACTTGCCCAAAATTATAATTAATCACTGATTGAATCAGGACAGAAATCAGGTTTAACTGAAAATAAATTTCATGTTTTTTACACTACTAGACTGATCCCTAGTTTATAAATTAGTATCCTTGTAAAGGAAGTAAGCCTTAAGTTGACTACTAAATCCCATATTATGCTGTCTCTCAGTAGCTTGTATCTGGATAATTCAGTCCAAACTGTTTTTCATTAGGAAGTAGATCTAACTCTAACAAAATTAATTCCAATTTAAAAAGCTTCTTTGAGTCTTTCAGAGAAATAAAATCGACTTCCTTGTAATCACTGGCTACAGATCTTTTTTCCACTAGCTACATATCCTTCTTCAGTTGTAACCCTAAAATGGTAACACAGGATTTTTAGAGCAGTGATAATGTTCTTATAATGATGATTACATGTCTTTATAGTTTGTCCAAACTCATAAAATGTACAATACCCACAATGAACCCTAACATAATGATAATGTCATATCAATGCAGGTTCACTGATTTTAACAAACATACCACTATGGTGAGTGATGTTGATAATGGGGAAAGTTATGTATGTGTGGATATGGGAAATCTCTGTATTTTCAATTTCGCTGTGAAAAATATCAAATCGCTTAAAAAATAATAACCATTTTCTCAGGACAACAAAAATCATAGCACATGTCATGACCAAGAATTTTTGTGCTGGTTGGTGGGAGGAGTAGAGAAGATGAAATACAGATAGCAGAACTTAGGGAAATTTATGATGTAGGAGAAAAATTCTTTTGCAAAACTGACAGAAACCTTTCAGAAACCATTAAAGGAAAAATTCCAGAAACAGAAGCACACTACCATCGTTAATTTATTTGTTCAAGCACTCATGTTGCAAGCATTATACCAGGTATGGGCTTTGATTCCGTAAGCCCAGATTCACATATTTAGGAGGATAAAAGCAAACTGTGATCCATGTGCGTGGATGGAAACTAAAGGCTCATGGTTAATCACATTGTGGTTCTTACATTTCTATAGTCTACAGCCCTGTAGTCACAGGTCTTTGAGGTCCTTCTGGATGTTCCAGAGGGTGTCTGCACTTTTCTTGAGTTGAGCAACCTCATCATCCTTCAGTTTCTGGTTGATAACACTGGTTAGTCCCCGAGCGTTCAGGATACATGGGAGGCTCAGGAAGACTTCATTCTCAATGCCATACATCCCCTGCCAGACAAGGAAAGCATTTAGATTAAAGAATAAAACCAGAGATGAGAATGATCATAGGTCCTATCTTTGAATAGAAAGAATTGTAGGAAATTTGTAATCACAAACTCATTCTTTAGATTTCATTACTTACAGGCTCAGATTTCCCTAATACTTCTGTTTTGAGTTAGGTTTTATACATAGAATAGACAAATATACACTATAATAAAACTAGAAATTTATTAAGAAAGTAGTAAGTGCTTTATTGGACTATATGGCAATTCTCTCTCTTAGGTAGACTTTAACAATTTGATATATGTCTTTAAATTAAATTGCATTCAAATGTGGTTTTTAACGGGCTACTTTTTATGAAATCTTAAGTTTCTTAAAATTCCTTAGTTAAAAAGAAAATTACAAGATCCAGAATAGTAGTTAGAGGTCACTCAAAGGCAAAATTCTTATAATACCCAAGAGTTGCTGGAAAAGAAAATAGTGTAATTTCCAAAAACTTCCACCAGTTTGTATAAAGTAATTTAATTCACAAGGTCAATTTTACTACACAATTAATTAAATTATTTAATTATCAAAATAAGTTACTTTAATAAATTTTTAAACTTTTAACTTCTCTATCCTTTGGTATAGTTTATACATATACCAAAAGATAGAGAAAAAACAAATTCTTACATATGCACTCTAAAATTTGGCAATGATTCTTCTTTTGCCATATTCGTTTCTTAAGAAAATCTGACACGTTTTACTCAAAAATGCTTCAATATTTATCTTTTTTTTGTATGCTTCTTTTAATCTAATGTACCACCCTCTTTACTTTTTCACCCTGGCCATTGATTTGTGGAAAATGAGTTTTCTTACAAAATTTTTTAAATGCAATTTTAGTTTCCTGTAAAAACAATCAATTTCTATTTAACTGTTTCATATTAAACTAAATTTACTTAGATATCAAGTGCTACATCATATGCAATCTACAGTTTAATATGCCACTTGAAATAAGACTATTATACGCTTATTTAAATGATCATCAATTGTGAGACTATGCCAATGAGATTCAGAATTAATATTTAATTTGCCACATCACACAAAAAGAACTATAAAAATTTATTCGATGTCTCAGCCTCTACAATATTATGTTCTTATTGTCCTTGGATTTTTGTAGGAAAAGAAAAAGTCTCCATAAAATTTTGAAATAAGTGAAATAACTGTGGACTGAGACTTTATCTTGTCCTTCCTTAATTGACTCTAATTATAGACTACAGCACTATAAATCACTTTCTATTCTGTAACACTTTATCTTACCTTCACCATCGTTGATACTGGATGAATCCTGGATAAATTTTTAAACATGGATTCAATGAGATCAGCCACACTTAATCCAATAGCCCAGTTGGTATATCCTTTTAACTTGATGACTTCATAGGCACTAAGAAAAAAAAATGTCACAAAGGAGATCATTGAAATCATACTCAATAGTTATTAAAACCAGACTCTGGGTTTGACTCCTGCTCTGTCTCATATTATGTAATCTTGTTTAAATTATTTAACCTTCCTTGTCTCAGTGTCTTCTATAAAATCAGAGTGACAGTGGATTTACTGCATATGTTTATTAAATGAGTTAATATGCATGTAAAATGTTTAAAATATGAACACATTATGGTAGGTGCTATATAAATGTTTTAATAAATCTATAATGATTAGATAAGTGATTATAAAATTACAGTAGTAAAAATGTACTTTTTCCAACCAATCTTCTTATTCATAGACATGAACATTTCCAAAGATATTAATGAAACCAGAAAACGATGAAAGTAAATGAATCTTCATATTCAAAAGACAAAATATATCTTGATTTTGAGGTCCCACTTACCAATGTCACCTAAAATACTATGACCAACTAAATTAAGAGCAAAGTGATAGCAATATTTTGCCTGGAAATTTTCTGAACATAAATTGTACACCACAAAATGCACAAAGGCACAGGTCCTTGAGAGGTGGAAGGAGTAAGGGAGTATTAGGAAGCTGGGATCTATCACTGACTAGGAGACCGGGTGCAAGTTACATCACCTGAGTGAGCCCTAGTTTTCTCATTTGTAAAATAAAGGGTCTATATTATGTAATAATATTCTAAGGACCCTTTCAATATTTAAAAATTCCTTTTATCATTATACAGGTTAAATTCCTGGGGAAGGGGAATCACTAAAATTGATCTAAATAAAATAATTTCATATTTGAGATATTAGTTAGTTTTGTTACAACAATTCCCTGTAATTAACAGCTTAACATTTATTAAAATCTTATCAATATAAGTATGCGCATAGGTGAATGAGCTTTTACTCAATTTGTACAATAATTCTATTATCATTTGACTTTACAGAGGAGAAACCCGTGATTCAACTTAAAAGTTAAATGACTTCCCTAAGACTATACAGTTAGTGTTAATGTTATTATTGGAATCCAGGGCCCATGACACCTGTTTTATGATAAGCATAAAGGTCATAGAAAGAGAGACCGGTTGTTCTTAAGGGAGTTTCCAGAAAAAGAAAATGGAAGGAATGGGGGACGTCTTTATCTGCATGTGGAAAGGTAAATATAGCGCAGCTTACACACTTTCAACAATCTATCAGCACGTATTTATTTTAGGCAACTTAGGAGACTAGTGAAGTCTAGGTTTACTTTCTAAATATGTCAGACTTATCTATGGACAGGAAGCATTTTAAAAGCCCTCTTACTTGTTAATTCTATGTATTGTTTCTGTTCCTCTACAACAGAATTTCTCTAGAAAAATATTTACTTTCCTTATGGTGACTGGCATAGCAAACCTGACCAGTGTAAGTTAGTCTTGTCTGTTTCAGCAGATAACAGCTGCATAGTTACTTCGGTAAGAGTTTATCTGAGTAGGCAGCTGTGGGAAGTGTTTATAATTTTATCTAGGCAAAGATAAAATTAATTGTCTTAAATCAAGCCCTCTTCCACTTACCTTTCAACCACCATCTTATGCACTTCCTTCCAATTTTCACTATCATTGTCCGTTCCCATTGCTGGATTCAGTTCCTGGAGAGAGACACCTGCCACATTCACTCCACTCCACACAGCCACTAGAAAAATAAAATAAAAACTAAAATAAACATTTTGTATGTTTCCAACACTATTTTAAAAAACCTTTTCTTCACTTGGTTCAGACTTCATCTCTGATGCAAGCTACCCACTTGAACTGCTCAATGTCAACTGTCTCCAGGGTATTTTCCCCCTAAAGGCTGACTTTAGTATCAAATAGCCACACATCTGAACTTTTAACTTTCAACCATTTGGGTACAAAACAGTATTATGTCATAATTAGAGAATATGAACTTCTTGTTTTTCTCTAGGTTCGTAAAGTCACAAGGGATTCCGGTTGGGATTATCCCAAACTTTTGGCTTAAGAAATTTTTAACTTTCCTCCTATTTATTTTTCTAATATAAACCCTCCCCCCCCCCCCTTTTTTTTTTTTACGGAGTGAGGTAAAAATAAATCTTGGGTAGTCAAAGTATCTCTTTTTATGCCTCAAGTTCAGTCTATATCTTTCTTGGTGTTGTTAATTCTCACCTGAGGATATTTTTTATATTGATTTTTAGAGAATGGAAGAAAGGGAGACACACACACACACACACACACACACACAGAGAGAGAGAGAGAGAGAGAGAGAGAGAGAGAGAGAGAGGGAGGGAGAGAGAAACATCAATGTGAGAGAGACACATGGATTGGTTGCCGCCTGCATGGAGATCAAGCCTGCATCTGAGGTATGTGCCCTTAACCGGAATCGAACCCATGACCCTTCAGTCCACAGGCCAATGCTCTAATCACTGAGCCAAACTAGCCAGGGCCAGTCTACTTCTTCAAAGAAAATTTGTGTAACCACAATGAATTTTTCTGGTCTTAATTGGATCAAATCTTTCCTTCCAAGAATGTCTCCAGAGGCATAGGTAACAGACAAGGTATGCGTCTATCATTGGCTATATCTCTGGAGGCTTGGGTGCTCCAAAACAACTCCCTTGCCTATTCATAACACCTCCTGCCCAGCCAAAAGCATCTAATGAAGACCTAGGCAAACAAAGATGAATAAAGACATGCTTTATGACACGGGCAAGCTCAGAATTTACCAGGAGACGCAGACAAGTAAAGGAAACAAAAACAATGGGATAAGCCCTCACAGAAGTATGGAGAAAGTGTGTAATAAAATATAAAGGGCCTACTTAATGTGACAGAAAGGGATATAAAATATAGGCATTGGAACTGGTCCTCAAGAAATAATATGCACTCTTGGAAGAAAGCACTGGAGACTCCGGAAATATAAGCAAAGGCGTGGGGTGAAGTCTAGCTCGGCTCTGAAAGGAGAAGTTGCCCATGGCCAAACAAAACCTCTTTTAGCACAAAACTTTTGCAAAATCAGGCCAACTGTTGAAAAACAAACATTTTCATGGTTTTTGAAAGCTATGAGGTCTACATAAATAATTCGATAATGAGCATGACTTAATTATTTTTCATTTTATGTACATAATTTAGGGAGAAAAGATGTTTTGGGGGGAAAATGACATAGTAATGAATGAATGGAACCTTGGTCAAGAGTCTGAAGATCTGATTCTAGTTGTAATTATGCCACTAACTACAATGGGTCTTTAACAAGCCACAGATCTAGATCTGTGGTTCCAGAGATTGTATATTTGTAATGACTAGCATTTATTAAGCCTTTATTATACATCAGACACTATACTAAATACTTTATATGGAAAATAAATTCAGATAAATGTTTGGATATGAAGAACTCTTGAATAAAGTAGTATAATGTGTCAGAAAAACAAATCAGCCTCATTATATAAAAGTGCATTAATGTAATAATTGTAAAACTAAATTCTTATACCAAGGTAAATTCATTACAAATATCACATTACAAACTCCAAGTAAATCCAAAGGAAAAATTATACCTTAAATTTGTATAGTGTGCAGAAACAAATTTTGTAAAACAAAGATCACTGTTATCGTTATTATTAACTAGAGGCCTGATGCATGAAGATTCATGCAAGAATGGGCCTTCCTTCCTCTGGCTGCTGGCACCACCTTTGCTCTGGCCTGAGCTGCCTTTCCACCTTCCCATGCTGCCCAGAAGCCTGGAGTGGCTGGGGTAGTGCTGGATGACTATGTCCTGCATGCGTCCAGCCCTCCGGGTGCTTGGTGCCTGTGTATGCAAATTAACCTGTCACCTTTGTTGGGTTAATTTGCATACTTGTTCCTGATTGGCTGGTGGACTTTGCGAAGGTACAGTCAATTAACATGTTGCTCTTTTATTGGGTAGATATTAAAATTTTGTATTATTATAGTTTTATACAATAAGCCTATTCAATGTATGAAATTCTATGTTTAATAAATAGGATTAGGGTTATTAAATATAATCACAATTGTCATAAATGTTTTTAAGACAAAATTGTTTGGAAAATATTAATTTCAATGAAAAGAAAAATATCAACTTAAAATACAACATTTAAAATAAATGATGTTTAACTGTTTCAAAATAAATCATTATAAAAGAATCAGAAGTACACTATTATTTTACTGTTGGTATTGTTGCAATTATTAATTTATGTCCAACATTTCTATTTAAATTCATAAAAATTATTTGAGATTTACCTACCATATGCTCTCTTACTACTTAAATGATTGATAGTTATTGTTAATGGTTTATTAAAACTCAGATTTCATTTGAAGCAAGATTTATTTACATTATTGAACAGTAGACACTGGTTATTGCAAAGCTTTTGTTACCCAATTCATCCCTCTTTCATTCAACCTGATGGCTATCATAGCTCTGTCCACTGAAAGGGTCTAGAAGCAGACATGCCAGGGGCAACAGCATAACTATACCAGATCTTTCTTTCTAACTCCCATTCCCCTTAGGAGGAAACAGAGCTCACTGGAGAAAGAGATGATTCTAGTCTGGGAGAGGGGAAGTACAAGATGAACCTGGTGCACTATATTGTTAGAGAAAGCAAGAAAGGGCTCAAAAAATGGAGAGACATCAAAAAGACACAGATGTATGTAATACTTTCAACAATAAAGATTTTTAAAACTAAAACTAAAATAAGTCGCAGCACTGAAGAAAAAAAAAGACACAGGAGTCAGCCTAAAGAGCCTGCCCTTTGACAAAGTTGAGACAATTTGACAATGGTAACAGAACTTTTGTGGAATAAAATAAAAATCTGAGTCAACATTGATATAAATAGATGGATAAATAAATAAATGGAGAAGAGGAAGCTTTCTCTTATACTAGAATACAAATAAGAAATACAGAAAAAAATGAGGGGATTAGAATATGGTACTTGACATCATCATAGTAATAATATATTTAGCCAAGAATAATTAGTTAATACTAAATTTAAGCAGGCAAAAAAAAAAATGATGAGGAATCAATTATTTCCCTAGTCTATATAAAGTTATCCCCCACAGATTACTTATTTGTACTGTTATGTATGTAAAAATGTATAAAAATAAAATTTAAAAACAAAAATATTCAGCCAGGGCAGTGTGGTCCAATGATTGAGTACAAACCCATGAGCCAAGAAGGTTCCCAATTCGATTCCTGATCAGTGCACATGCAAGAGGCAGCAGATCAATGTCTATCTCTCACTGATGTCTCTCTATCCTTCTCCCTTTCTCTATAAAATCAATAAAAAACATCTTCAAAAATTTCAGAATGGTAAGAATAATACCATAAAGTAGTACACAGTAAATATTGTCTATTTGTTTATATTATTATTATTATTATTATTTTTTTTTTTTTACCACTTGAGTCGCCATGTTCTCCCAGAATCCATCCATGACAGCTGCTAGGATGAATGCCAAGTTTTTCAGCCATAAGGTAGCGAAATCTAGCAGAATCCAGGTTACATCCACTTCCAATCACACGGTGCTTGGGTAATCCACTTAGTTTCCAGGTGACATATGTGAGAATATCCACTACAAATTGTAGAAAAATATATGTAAGTAAATCAGAACTGATTTCAACTGCTATGTAAAGTAAAGGGTGTGTAGCTTCCTCCTCTCCCTACTCCCCACTCTCCAAATGGGTTGTGCCTATAAAAATGTACTTTGACTTTTCATATTTGAGATAATTGGGTTTAGAGAGACAAGAAAAATGCAGTATTGTGCTTTTTATTTGTTATGAGAAATGAGAATTTGTTACTTGAAATGAAAATATATAAGATCCTAGCAGATTAGTTAATATACTGCATGTGAAAAGAAAAAGGGTTGAATTAGATCATCCCTTAAATTTCGCTTAGTTCTAACAATCTATGACTGTTAGTGACTGTCATCATAAACCGAAAGGCATTGGTTACCAAATTTCCAAGGGATGCTACTATAAATTTTCCCAGGAACAGATACAATTTAGTAAATAATTGTTATAATACAAGATAGTAACATTTCTTACTATTTAATAAAAAGATATCTATGACAGATTTCATTCTGATGTGGCAGTCTTGAGACTGCACAGAGGCAAAACTTGTTGGTTACAGTACTTACAGGCTAAGCTGTAAAAGTGCACACTAGCAAGGCAAGGGGTTAATTTTGCAGTCTCCATCTTCACTGTCATATACAGAGACTGGCTGGCTAAGATATTTTAAGGTCATCGTGGACTAGGTATTATAAGCTCTTCCTTGGCAACTTGGATCCGGGCCAGTCTGACTCCTGGGAGAGTTAAAACTTTGAAGCTAGCCCTGGGAAGCTGTATAGCCAGCTATTAATGTCTGCCTTAGGTACAGGATGCACCAACTTCATCATTCCTGCCCTACATCTATCTGCCTCCGTGAGAACATTTAGATGCAGGATTGAACTATTTCATAAACTGCGACCCAGAATTACACTGAATAAGAATACTAAAACAATCTCTGTCTTTGCTGGCTTTCAACTCTCAATATTTCACAAAGTATTAGGATTCCCTTGGTTCTTATTCATCATCTTTCTCTGTATGAGCTGTCAGAGATAATCAGTTTTGCCATTTTACCAATGTATCTATTACGCTCACCAATAAACAATAAGTTTGGTGGCAAACTATAGACAAAAGTGTGAAGTACAGAGTGGATTTTGAGTGTGTAGACTAAAATAATGCAATTTTTTTTAAACCAGAAGTATTACGTTGTAACAACATTTGGTGTTAGCATGTGTTTGTCTATTTATACAGTCCCTTTCCATCTTTAAACCAGGACTAAATAATGATTTTCTTAAACTCTACGTTTCAAATTCAATCTGATTCAATTTTGAAGTTTTAGAGGTTAGGGAAACAAAAAGTCAGATATGCTAAAACATTCCTTAGAAAGTACATAATGTTGCATTATGTACCCCAGGATAATTTTTATAGAAATTTTAAAAGCTTTTAGACTCTACGACAAACCCAGATTAAAAAAAAACAAACAGATGAAACTGCGTTCTATGCCAGCAAAACTCTTCTCACATTTTTAAACATTTGGCCTGGGACCGCGCCATTAGTTCTGCAAACACGCCTCTTTTAGGGCCATTAGCAGAAGACATGTGAATTGCTTCTGCTAGTGAACACCAAGACAGGTTTTCTTCCATTCAAAAAACAAAATAAAACAGACCCCGAACACACTGAGCTTAACATAACCGGACCCTCTAGGCACTCAAATACCTGGGTTAGAAACCACAATGATGATGCAATTAGGGCTGTACTTGACGATCTGAGGAATAATGAACTTGAAGACATTGACGTTCCTCTGCACCAGGTTGAGACGACTCTCTCCCTCTTGCTGGCGGACTCCAGCAGTGACCACCACGATCTTAGAATTGGCGGTCACAGAGTAGTCTAGAGGGAGAAGGTAAAAGGTCCTTTAAATGCAACTCTTCATTACAACAGACCAGGTGTGATATGCCCCCAAACTATCTCAACGTTCATAAGCGTCTAGAATTTACAAGAGCATTACGTTTTCTGTATTATAAGGTTTTACATGCTCCTGTGGCTCCTTCCTTCTATAGGGAAGCCTTCCAAACATGAAACTGGTTTGGAGAATGTACCAGAAAATAAAAAAATAAAAAAAAGGTCTTAAATTATGCCTCTGGCTAAGAATTTCAACTTGCAATGGACTTTGTAAAATATTGCATTGTCAGTAATAATGCAAAACATAAACAATGAGTCAAACAGGCAGCCCTTCAATTAAAAAAAAAAGCAGCCTGGCCAGCATGGCTCAGTGGTTGAGCATCTACCTATGAACTAGGACAGTGGTCAGCAAACTCATTAGCCAACGGAGCCAAATGTCAACAGTACAAGGATTGAAATTTCTTTCAAGAGCCGAAAACCGACTTCTGCGCATGGGCCACAAAGTTTCAATCGCAATGTATGTGTGTGCCCACATGTGGTATTTTGTGGAAGAGCCACCCGCAAGGGGCCAAAGAGCCGCATGTGGCTCGTGAGCTGCAGTTTGCCGACCACCGAACTAGGAGATCACGGTTCGATTCCCGGTCAGGGCACATGCCCAGGTTAGGCTCAATCCCCAGTGTGGTCGACGCTCAACCACTGAGCCATGCAGGAGGCAGCCCATCAGTGCTTCTCTCTGATTTTTTTTTCTCTCTCTCCCTCCCTCTCAGAAATCAATAAGAATATATTAAAAAATAAAAGAGGAACCAGCCTCCTTTTTGATTTAACTGCAAACTTATAAAAATATATTTTATTAAATTTTTTTTTTTTTACAGAGAGGAAGAGAAAGGGATAGAGAGTTAGAAACATTGATGAGAGAGAAACATCAATCAGTACATGCCCTTGACCGGAATTGAACCTGGGACCTTTCAGTCTACAGGCTGACGCTCTATCCACGGAGCCAAACCGGTTTCGACTTAACTGAAAATTTTTAAAGAAAGCAATTTAAAGGTACCTTTAGGCCTGTAATGTTAATTCCATCTATGAAGGGGAAGGAAGGAACTGAAATGTTTCATTCTTGGCTAGCAATTAATTTCTAATACTCAAGCTTATTCATTTTCAGCAGGGAGCTTCTCTAGAGAATGTGTCCTTTCCCAAAATAGAAAGACATTATGGTTTGATGCAATCGTTAGACTCAATAGCTATGGATGATTCATAATTAAGCTATGCTACTATGTAACTTTTGACAGTCATTAATATCTTATCAGTTTCCTCACCCACAAAATGGAGGTGAGAGAGCCTACCTCTCAAAGGGATGCTATGAATATGAAGATGAGTCATGCAAAGTTTGACAGTACACAGACTACTCAACAATTTGATCAGTAACAGCTATTATTAGTAGGAGTATTATTAGAAATTATGTTGGAGCCCACGTTTCTGTATCTTTAAGCAGAGCCATTCTGTGCTGGCAGAACCATGGCATAAACCTGCTTATCCAGAACAGACGGTTGGAACATGAATGCAATAAGCTTCATCAGCGCACTCAAATAAATTACTTTAGGCAGGTGTGTTGTTTTTTCTTGTCCGAAACCTTCCCATTCTCCTATACACATAAACAAATATTATAACACAATTTGCTAAACAACAAATGTGTGGAAGTCACATGGATGTTTACAGAGAGGTAAGACTTTGTGTTTGTCCTCCAGAATGAATTGGAACCCCCAAAAAGAAAAAATTGCCATCACGAGATTCACCATGATGGGAAGACTAACATTGTATCAGGGGGTGAGGATATCAATTATTAGATAGGCTGCATTGGGCCTGAAATAACTCTACCTTTATCTGCCACAATTTTAGGTGTCTGAAGAAATAAGCTTCCATGCTGCAGATCCATCATTTCTCCTTTGAGTTTATCTTCCAACACATCCACCAGGGCCAGCTCATCAGCCAGAGACTAGAACCACAAAAACAGGTGTTAGTCCCCTAAGGACTATTGATTGGCCAAATAATTAGCTTAATGTGATGTATCAGTGCTGGAGCCCACTGGTAACTGGAGTTCAGGAAGAACTCTGAAGGATAAGGGGTAACCTTGGGTGAAACTGGTGGTGTCAGGAAACTGCTGACCAGTAGAGAGAGAAGAAGCAGAGAGAGGTGAGATGCCAACAAGAAACTTGACCTACTTTTGCTTCCCATCAAAGCAGGTCCCGCTCCCTGCAGAAGCCAAGGAATGAGGACAATCCTGTCTCCAGAACCCCAATGGCTGGCCAGCCTCATGAAGCAAGCTGTGAGGGTTTGCTTGTGACCCTCAAGCCTCCTTGTGATGGAATGTGTTCCTAGTTCCAAGCAACAACTTAACTTGCAGATTTTCTGAAATCACCCTTTTATGAGGCGGGAATTACTTGTAAATATTTTCTCATTGCCACAAATGTCCAATACTGGCATTAATTTTTCACCTATTTACTTAAACACATGTTTTAACCCTTTGAAAATGGTTTTGTTCCTTTGTAGCCTCTGGCAAGGTCACACAAAACCCTCATTCATGTTTTTTTAAGTCTTACATTATACAGTAAGTCCTCACTTAACACCGTTGATAGGTTCTTGGAACTACAGTAAAATGATCTATTCCGAAACCAATTTTACCACAGGCTAATTGATATGAACAAGAGTTAAGTTCCTAGGGCATCACATCAATGTTATGAAGCATTATTTGGCAACCCACTGAATTATGTTCAATATAACTTAATAATAGCACTAGCATTCTGTCAAGGTACTGAACACGAAGAACGCCTCTCTTATTTTAGTAACATCACATGCATGCTGGGGAAGGCAACAGGGCAAAACAATTTGGGGCTTAAGTGGGAAAGGATATCACAGGATCTCAGATCCTGTCTTTGGTTTCAGTGGGTGTAGACAATTGGCTGAGAAGTGCCTACACAGCTGGCAAGGATGGAAGCGATCCAACCCTTGAAAAAATAATTGCGGTGCCGAATTTAGCTGCATCTGCACCACTGAATGTCATCCAAGTGCGGAGGCAGGCAAGTGGAATGCATGTGACTAAGGACTGAGGCTGCTGTTTGGGGTAAATACATCTCCCTCGGTGGTAGCTTAGTGTATAGCCCATGGATTTACCATCTATGCATGCCACTTAAGTTGTAAATATATTTTTAAATATTTGAAACTGCAAGGCTCAGATTAAATGCAAAGGCAATAATTTATTAAGGAATAAGCAAGACGGTCACTTGGAAAGCAAGACAGTTCTGTTGAAACCTTGTTTAACAGACTACAAAAATGTCTTTTAATGTAAAGTATCATGTGGACTGGACACAGCCATAATCTGCCTCTTGGTTCTCGTAGCTAATAAATTCTTGCCACCAATGCTTTAATATTTGATGGTTGCATTTTAAAAATATATATTTTATTGATTTTTTTACAGAGAGGAAGGAAGAGGGATAGAGAGCTAGAAACACTGATAAGAGAGAATCGTCAATCAGCTGCCTCTTGCACACTCCCTACTGGGGATGTGCTCATAACCAAGTTACATGGCCTTGACCGGAATCGACCCTGGGTCCTTTCAGTCCGCAGGCCAACGCTCTATCCATGAGCTGAACCGGTTTCAGATGCATTTTTTTTAAAAAAAACCTCATGTGAATACATGCTTTTCAATGATTTGAGAGACAGGGAGACATGCTTTTCAATGATGAGAGAGAGAGAGAGAGAGAGAGAGAGAGAGAGAGAGAGAGAGAGAGAGAGAGAGAGAGAGAGAGAGAGAGAGAAAAGAAACATTGAAGTGAGAAACATCAATCAGTTGCTTGCTGTGCACAGCCGGACCGGGGTTGGAACCCGCCGCCCTTCAATGTGCTGGATGATGTTCTAACCAACAGAGCCGCACTGATGGTTGCATTTTTATTTCCAAGTGTTTTGGGCGTATGAAATTTGTGGTAGGAAGAGGTGTAACTTTTTTCAAGTAATTAGCTACATGGATAAGCACTATTTTTCAATAATTTGTTTTTTTTTTCTCCTCTGGAATGTCACTTCTATCATGTTATATGGTTCAGGCCTGTTTCTGGGCTTTTAGTCTGTTCCATTAACCTGTCTATTCTTGTACAACCAAGTTTTCATTAAGTCCTACTTGTAAGCAGGCTTTGCCTATAAAAACTGCTTTGTAGTATGTCTATAATATAATTACTTTGTTCCTTCTCAGAGACTTCTCCTGCCGTTTGTTCAAAAAGATGGCTGAAGGTGATGATCAAGAATAGACACTCAGCCAAAACCGGTTTGGCTCAGTGGATAGAGCGTCGGCCTGCGGACTGAAGGGTCCCAGGTTCGATTCTGATCAAGGGCATGTACTTTGGTTGCAGGCATTTCCCCGGTAAAGGGTGTGCAGGAGGCAGCTGGTCGATGATTCTCTCTTATCAGTGTTTCTAGCTCTCTATCCCTCTCCTTTCTTCTCTGTGAAAAATCAATAAAATATATTTTTTTTAAAAAGAAAAAGAATAGACACTCAGACCAAGAGCAGCTGGGCTCAGAGTCAGGGTAGAGTTGTCCTGGAAGCGATATGTGCCCCTGGCAGGATGAGGAGGACTGGCAGCTCCATGCAGAGTTTGGGGTTGGTAGTGGGTGGAAGTCATATTTGGCAGAAGCCATGAAAAAGGAAAAGCTATGACGAAAATTCAGCCAAATGTAAATGCAGTTGACTAGTAACAGGAGGGAATATTTGTTTACTTAACATACATTTATTGCTGAATGTACCAGATATTATGCTACTCATCAGGAATACAGAATGAACAAATGTAGCGAAGTTCTTGCTCTCAGTAAATGTATCAGGAAAAGAATCGGAATTAAGCAGACAATTTAAAATGATTCTGATGATGCAAGCGCTATAAACACAGAGGCACGGTGACATTGAAGTTGCTGGGAAGTTTATTGTGTATTGGGGAGTCAGGGAAGCCCTGCCTGCAAAGGCATATGATTGATAGGAAGGGTCACCTCTGTGACATTCCAGGTGAAGAGAAAATCAAGTGAAAAGGTTCACACAGAAATGAGCTTGATGTTTTGAAGAAATAAGGCAGAGGGTGAGAGATGAGGTCAGACCCCCTCACCACCACCACCACCACCACCACCACCATGTTGCATCAGCGGGTGCTCCTGACAGTGTGGACGGCGCCCCCTAGAGTTGTGCACTCCACTGCTTTGCTCTGAGACAGGCAGGGAAAGATCCTGGTGGCCTTGCAGGGTCTTTGCATGTGTGTGGCATACGTGCATTGTGGCATTACTGAAAAGTTTTAAGTAGGAGAGTTCCCATTTTTATAAAAGCTCGCTATGGATTCTAACAGGTTTGGCTCAGAGCATCAGCCTGCGGACTCAAGGGTCCCAGGTTCGATTCCGGTCAAGCACATATTCCTTGGTTGCGGGCACATCCCCAGTAGGAGGTGTGCAGGAGGCAGCTGATCGATGTTTCTCTCTCAATGATGTTTCTGACTCTCTATCCCTCTCCCTTCCTCTCTGAAAAAAAAAATCAATAAAATATATTTTAAAAAAAAGTTTGCTATGGTTATTATGTTGGCAATGAGGATGGGGGTGACGTGGGGCGAGGGGAAGGGGGGGAGAGCAGAAACAGAAAATAACTGAGACTTTGTAAGGTTGGGACATGCTACTAGGGAGCCTGAGCTGCCTTCACACGAGCTGCCTTCACAGCCTGAGCTGCCTTCACAGGCCTAGTTGAGGTGTGGCCTCAACCTCTCTCTCCCTGATGCCCTAGCTTGGCTCAGCTTCTGGGCCGAAGCCATGTGTGTCCGCTGTAAAGAACACCAGCGATGAACTCAAACGGCCAGGCCTGGTACTCACTATCTATGGGATCTTAACCAAGTCACTTAATCTTTCTGAGTTCCTTTTCCAACAGTAATTCATAGATGACAATCCCCGCCCAGAACCTTCGTAGAGAAATGAAGCCAAATACAGAGACCGAACAGAGTAGGCACTGCTCATTTCCTTTCTCTGTTAAGCTAGTGGGGTTTATAATCCTCACCAAATAATACCAAATTTGAAGCACTTTCACACGTACTCATCAAAATAAGATTAAAACCTGTTGAATTAATCAAATGGTCTTTGAACAAGGCAGTCATTCCCTCGCAGCAAGCATCTGAACTGGAAGATTCCCACTGTGTTAGCAGCAGGGTCTGTTCTCTCAAGAAATGGGCCAAAGTATTATGTAACTGCAGATACAGTCTCAATTAAATTATTTACTAGGGAAGACTTCAAACTAAAACAGTCATAGAAGTATCATAGACTCACAATAGCTCAAGTACAGGTTTCTGAAAAATGTAAATATTGAGATTAGCAGGAAGAATGAAAAATCCTTGGGTGGTATTGCCTTAATACCTTTGTTTTTAACCACTCAAATACTAGCACAGAATAAAAAGAAAATTCAATCTTGAGTTCAAAATACAGTTCCACTATGCCCCAGCCAGTTGCTCCGTGGTGAGAGCCTGGGCCCCGCAGATGGAGGGGTCATGGGTTTGATTCCCCATCAAGGACATATAACTTGGTTGCATGCAGCCTAGGTCTGGATGTGCATGTGTGTGTGTGTGTGTGTGTGTGTGTGTGTGTGTGTGTGTGTGAACCAATCTCTCAAGTCTATATTTCCTTTCGCCCTTCTGCCCTCCCTTCCACTCTAGAAATTAAAGAAAAAATATATTGTTCTGCCCCTGCCAGCTGTGACTGTGGGCAGGCTACTTCATCTCAAGGCTCAGCCACCTCAGCTGAAAACAGGATAGGACAGTTCCCACCTCTTCAGGTTGTTGTTAAAAATGAAGCATTTCAGCCCTAACTGGTTTGGCTCAATGGACAGAGCGTTGGCCTGTTGATGAAGGATCCCAGGTTCGATTCCCGATCAGGGCACATATCTGGGTTGTGGGCTTGATCTCCAGTGTGGGGTATGCAAGAGGCAGCAGATCAATTATTCTCTCTCATCATTGATGTTTCTATCTCCCTCTCCCTTCCTTTTTGAAATCAATAAAAATATAGGAAGCATTTCAGTTAAAACCCTTTGAACAGGTTACACACTCAAATATTACATAAAAGGAGTGTAAAATGGACTACGTTTAATCTTTACCAGCATGAACAGTGAACACTAAGGTGTGATTATTTAAATTCCCTGTAATTTGAGAAGCAACTATCCTAAATCCCAGGCACCTAGTCAATTAAAACGAGCTAGAAAAAAATGCAAAAGAAAGAAACTTTCATTATCGCACACTACATACATTAGCTGATTGCTTTGGTAAATTTTTCTCAGTGGGGATTCAGAATTTGTTCCTTTAGCATTTAAACTTTGCAAATAGAAATATGCGTGGTGAGAAGTTATTCAGGCAGCCTTTCCATAAATACAAAGAGAATGTGTGTCCTGCAGACAAGGCATTTTTTGTTTTTGGAGGGAAGTAGGTAGTTCCTCTATTGAAGGCAACCTTGAGAAGGAACAAGAATGAATTCAGTGAAGTAAAATAAGAAGAGAGCTCTTTCCTTAAAAGTTCTCAGAAACTAAACAAAGCTAATTATGATTTAAAGCACAACAGGATACCAGGCAAGCCCCAAGTCCAAGGAGGTACAAAGGAAAAATAGAGTCTGGAGTAGAAGGTGCTAATAGTATGATATCAATGTTAAATCTCCTGATATTGATAATCACATTTGTTATGTGAGAATATTTGAAGATGTCCTATTTTAAATAAATATACTCTTAGAAGGAAATGATATCTGCACTTAATTCTCAAATGGTTAAAAAAAAATCCAGTGTGTATGTGTGTGTGTGTGTGTGTGTGTGTGTGTAGAGAATATAATAAAAATTTATGAATTGGTAAATCTGGATAAAATGGATATGAAAGACAGTTTGTTTTTACTATTTCTTACAAATTTTCTATAAATTTTAAATTATAACACAATTGGGTAAAATTTTGAGGAGAATAATAGGATATTTTCATGACCTCAAAAAGCCACTATGCACGTTATTTATTACTTACAGAGGAAAAGGGGAGATTTGCAGTGGAGAAATCTTGCAGTCACTACTGGTAATGAGGCACATTGAGCACTGCATGACTCCTGATGTAATATATCAGGAAGACTACTCCATCACCTAGTCGTGACTCCACCCAAAAATATTAACCTGGACATAATTAAGTGGAGGGACATTCTACAAAACTGACAGGGACTCTTTAAAAATGTCACTTATGTGAAAGACAAAGAAAACCCGAGTAATCGTTCTGGATTAAAGAAGAATAAAGAGATATGGCCAGTATATAAAATATGTGATCTTGAATGGGGGGTGAAAATAGCCATAAAAAACATGATATTAACAGCTGGAGAGTTTTCAATCTGGGCACTGTATATTAGATAATAGTATTATGTAAACATCCAGTTCCCTAGGAATCTTACCTCTATTGTATCATATAGGGAGGGACACTGTCATTCTCTCAGGAGACACTGGCTCACGTATTTGAAGGTTCAGTATCAGGCCTACAACTTAAGTTATTCAGGATAAAAATATCTTTGAAAGACACAATAAAACCTGACGTGCGTGAAGAACACAGGCTGAAAGTGTCCGTCCTGTCTGGTGTTCTTGGAACGTACCTTTCCCAGAATGCTGATGGCACACGCCATACCCACTTGTCCAACACCCACGACAGTGATCTTGTTGTTTGGGATTGCTGCCTCTTCCTTGGCAACTGGTGCAATCAGTTTTTCCTTAAGAGTCGCCATCGTGCACTGGAAGAAGAGAATCAAAATATTACACATGAAATTAGGTAACTACCCTAACAATGTTACTACTGCAATTTTAAAATCAAAGTATAGTTTGGAAAGAGCCTAATGGTCTGCCAGGAGACAGATTATACTTTAAAGAACCATGTGACTCATTTAATGGAGAACTTAAGACCTCCATAAAGCTGTTTGAATTTGGGTTCTTCTCTTTAGTCTATGATCCCATATTAGTATTTAACAAGTTGTCATTTTGTCTTGTGTCTTATTCATTCACTGGCTACAAGACAAAAATATTTATGTGTAAATGAACTGATCTTTCTACTCTCCTTCGAAAGAATTTATATGTAACAAAAAAAATTAATGGCCAATTATTAGCATAGTTTGTACAAATGGTTATTATCACATTTGGAAGATAGGGACTGACTTGTTCTATTGTTTTCTTCTACTTAAATTTTATTATGATTTTTTAATCCTCAACCAAGAACATGGTCATTGATTTTAGAGAGAGGGAGAGGGAGAGATAGAAACATTGATCAGCTGCCTCCCGCACATGCCCCATCTGGGGATGGAACCCATAACACAGATATGTGCATGGGACAACACTCCAACCAACAGAACCACCCAGCTAGGGCTACTTAAGTCTGTATCACTGTGTACTGAATATATGTACTGAATATATAATGTGTGCTTAAATAATTAGATAAATACAGTGACCATAAAATAGTGATGAATGATGTTTGTGCAAAAGGTGCCCTTCCGCCCCCCCACCCTCCAAAAAAAAAAAAAAATAATAACTCTGAATTCCTTTTAGTGTTCCTTGGAAGCTTATTGAAAGGTGGTTAGATAATTACCTATTTTCCTTTCAGGAAGTTCCAATTAAGAGACTATCAACCTTTGAATTAGTTTCTTCCCAGTCTTTTCTTTTTTTAAAGCCCCCCCCCCAAAAAAAAAATTAAAAATTAAATAAAAAACTATGGGAAAGCATTCTACATAGTAGTATCAAATTTATCTGTGCCATCAGGTACAAGCAAGTACCCTTTCTGCAAACTTAAAACAAATGGCAAAATTTACTGTACCCCCCCTGCCTTCCTCAACAGAGGGCACAGATCATGAGTAAGCCTCTTTCTTCTTCAGAATTAAGTATCAGTTTTCATTGTGACCCACTATCATGTCCATTATTTATGTTTCCTTTTACTTAGGATGCTAGACTGTAACCTTGGGGGTCACAGCACCTGTTTCAAATTGCGCCCCTGCTTCCCAAGCCTGTTTTTTTGTTTCTAGTCTGCAATCAACTAAATGACAAAACCTAGTTTAGCAATCGTGTATGTTAAGAGTTAGTAAGTCTCTGAGTTGGAATAAAGTACTTAACTGTGGAGACAACTAGACAACTGTGTAACAACTATTTTGTTCTAAAGCTATCCTCCCCCCCAAAAAAAAAGAAATAAACATTTTCCTAAATTGAGAGATTCTTTAGCCTTTACAGAGCACATTTGCATTTCTCACGGATGCCAGTGAAATCCAGAACAGCATGCAACTGCCTTTACAGATGACCTTACAATGAAATTCTTACACGCCCTGCACTGATAACAGGATCAGAAGAATGCTGCCTCTCTTCCTGTTGAACAGAGGTAGATACAAATGCAGTTTTCCTCCGTTACGTTTATTTTCATTAGTTGCTTTAGATCCCTCAGGTACACAGAGGACGCAGAAAGCAATGGGAAACAAAAATCCAGTAATGGGTTGCTACTTAAATACTGACTGGTTGTTCAGATAGATTTTTTAAAAATTAATTTGGGGAGGTTCAGAAATTACACTTTGGAGGCAGTGCAGATTCTTTCATATCTTTCCGGAGAAAGCGTTTTTCTTCAGTATGTCCTTCCTACAAGCTACTAAAAAAAAAAACCATTAGAATACAATGTTTTGTAGTGTCTGCAGGGCTGTGCCAAGGTCAGAGCGGTGGCTGTAAGAGAAAAGAATGAGACACAGAATGGTAAAAATAACCCGATTCTTGTCCCTCCTAACCCCTTGTGCATACAAGTCCTTGGAAATAAACCCGTGCCTTAAGTTCAGGAACAAAGACCCTCTTTACGAATAGCTCTCAATGCTAACTTTTTAGAAAGCCATGTTTTGTCATCTAATTCCTCCACGGAACAAGCGCCAGCCAGCCCTCTCTCCCCCTCTCCCCAGGCTCCCGGTGCAGCCTCGGGTGCTGGCCGCCCGCAGGCCATCTCTCCTCCGACCGCAACCACAGGTCTCCCTGGAGAAGGTCTCCCCGGAGAACGCCTAGGCCTTCCTTACTCTCAACACCCGAAGCCGGCAAAGTAAACACCGCTCCCCACGCACCAAGAAAGAAAGAAAGAAAAAAAAAAAAAAAAAAAAGAAAGAAAAAGGCCCGAAATGAGTCCGTCCCCGTCCCCAGCGCCGCCGGGAAGGGCAGCGCCTGCAGCTGCAGAGCAGGTCAGACCTGCGGGTCACCCTGGACCCTCATCCCCGCAAGGGCGGCGGCATTTCTCCGGGCTCCGGCAGCAGATCCCGGTGCCCAGGTTCCAGACCAGCCAGCCCTCGCCCACCCCCTCGTTCCTTCTTCCTCCCCGAGCTCCTCGGGCATTGGGGGGGACAGTGGCCGCCCTGAGCCACCAAGGACGAGAGCCCGAGGTTTTGCTGCAAATAAGTCTCCCCCCACGGTGCACAGGCCAAAGGTGAGCCCCGCTGCGCGGAGGACAAAGCTGGGGCTCAGCTGCACCGCCTCGGGTCCCCCTCGCTCGGGTCCCCCCCCGCGGAAGGCGCGCGACCCGCATGCAGCCTCGAACCCGCGGGTGGCGCCAGGACTGGAGTCCGGATGCTCGGGGCTGCAGGCCGTGGAGGACATCAGTCCTTCTCGGTTCTTCCCTCCCTCTGGCCACACAAGGACGCCCCTGTCTGACCCACCGGGTTGCTTTGGAGCCGGGATTCGGGCTCTGGAGCTGAAACCTACCAGGAGAGAGAGGTGGGGCTCCAAGGATGGTAGGAAGAGTGGCGCCCAGAAAGCAGTCTCAGCTGCGGCGTCCGCTCCCGCGCAGGATCTGCAAGGAGGAGGAAGAGGCGGGCCCGCCCCGTCCCCCGCAGCCTCCCAGCTCTCCCCATTGTGATTGGAAACCCGAGCGCCGCCTGCTCCTCCCCTCCGCTCGCTCAATCCCCTTCAAGGACAAGGGCTCCAGTGTGCCCACGCCCTCCTCCTCCCCAAAGGAGCGGGTCACCTTCTGGCGGCCCAGGCGGCCCGCTCCCAGCCCGCGGGGCCGCAGGCAGAGGCCGCGCTGAGTCTGAAACCCGCCTTGGCCTCTGCAAGACGTCCGCGCTCTTGCTTAGTCCAAGGAGAAATGAAATTCGATGTTGCTTTGCAGGTCAACTTTAAAGAAGACCACCGTTTCCCGCTAAGAGGTTGATGATGCGTTCCCTGGAAGAGGGCTGGTGGTGCTTCAGGGATGTTTTCCAAATAAAGCAGAAGTTTTCCATTTTCACCGTCTCGGTTATAAAACTCGTGTGTTGCAACCATTACAGGGTTGTTTCGCCGTGGTTTTTTTTATTTTTATTTTTATTTATTTGTGTGTGTGTGTGTGTGTGTGTGTGTGTGTGTGCCCTCCCTCCCCACACCACCACCTCATTCAGCCAATGTGCCTGCTAGATGCCTGAGGAAGTGAGGCCTACAGCCTGTTCTTCCAAGTTCTCTACATATTTATATGGTCTCCCCAGTAAGGCTCGGTTTCTCTGTTAGTCCCTGGTAACTCCAAAGATGTAATTCATCTCTGTCTCAAAGATGCAAGTTGCCATTCATCTCTGTGTCTTCAACAGCCAGATCAGTGCCTGGTACCTCAGTGCAGTGCTGGTGAGTGAGTGAGTGAGTGAATGAATGAATGAATGAGAAGTTGGAAGTATCCAAAGAGTGTGTGTGGCAGTGATTTTTATTCCTCTTGTCCTTGGAGGCTGTTTTCTCTGGGTGTCTGCAAAACATCAGTGCTGACCCCTTTCACTAAACATGTCTCACTCGTGGAAAAAAATGCTTCCTTGCTGTCTCCTACTGGGAGAGAGGTCTTTGAAAGGTACCTCAGGTGAGCCTTGTCTTGATAAGGTTCAGTCCTTGTAGGGTGATACTGTAAAGGAAATAGTCACCCAGAGTGAGTTATTATGCCCTAGATTAGAGCTCACAGTGTTTTGCCTGAAGCTTAACCTGCAGGCAGGCCAGGTCTAGCAGAGCCAGTCAGAAATCAGAACTTTCCTACCTCCTCCAAGGGTGTCCTTGAGGTGGTAACCTGGGTCTGCTTCTGGAAACAGAGAGGAGAGGCACACACACAGGAGAGGCACACACACACACACACACACACACACACACACACACACACACAGGACAAGGTCAAGGTCTTCATGGTGTGAAGCCTACCAATTGCCATCGGCATTGTCCTTTCAGAGAACTGTGACCTCTGATTCTTTCTGGTGCCAAGGGCTTTGATTCTATTGTTACAAATGCTTCTTTTCTTCTGCTAGAGACCCTGAAGAAGATAAATAGTTTTTCTGTGTCCTGGCCGGACACATGTAACATATTATTTTTACCAAATAAAAGATAAGAAAGTAAAATATAATAAAAATGCTTACTATAAAGTAAACAGCCCCTTGCTTCTTCCCTCTCAGACCAGTCTGGATCCTCAGAGATGATTCCTCTTGACTACTTGAATTGCAGTCCTGAAGGTCAGCTGCTCTTTCCCTTCATTCCTCATACTCATTTAAAATATGGTTGAGGAAGTAATCCTTTGAAGCACATAAGTTTGAAAGGTGGGAAGTGTCTTCCCTGAGATTTTAAACTGAAAATCCCTGGGATTCACTTGCCTGAAGTTTTCTTATACTTCTATAAAGCAATACACATCTAGGAATTTGTTTTACATAATAACATTGCTTTTATTTGTTATATGCCTTTATTTTTATGCATTTTTAAAAATTCTTTATCGATTAAGGTATTACCTGTGTCTCCT